GCTAAGGTTGTTTTGAACAACAGCACCCAGGATCCTTATGGCCTGCAGTTGTTCAGGGTTAAGGGCAAACACTGGCCATAACACATAAACATGATGCATAAAATACACATGCATTTCTTTATGGGTTTTTTAACTTTCACCAACATTATGACATTTTATCGTGGATTTCTATACTAAGTGGTTATTTGTTGCAATATAATGATGGATATAGATTTACATTAGTGTACAAATGTTTAAACAAATCATCTGTGATGAAGACTTCACTTCAGTCAACATCCCCATCAGAATCCAACATCTCTTATTCAGGATATTCTTTAAGAAGATCCCTCGGGAGTGGAGAATGAAGTCAAACGCAAACATAGACAAAAGAGCAGTGCGGTGCCAATCTCACATTCCGTATTGATCTTGCTTCTGCGAATATCGATTCCATTGCCAAGTTATGATAAGTATTAATCAATAGTTCTTTGACACAATAAGGTATTTTGTTGTAAATATATCAAGACTTGATCATGCCTAAACTCGAGGGAGGACATTGTAAGACTTTTTTTAAAAACATCCTGAATAATGTCGCTTTTATTTGTGATATGGTACCTTTTCACTTCTGAAAACACATAAGGGAGATAACTGTTTGTTAATCTCAATTCCTGCGCATCACTTTTGGTGACTTGAATAACCCCTGCCCAAATGGAGTCCCTTCCATCATATTTCGTTTTTAAAAGGGAGATAACTGCTATGAGTTAGAACATGTATATTTCACGCATCAGAACCGTCGTCACGCACTTTCATGAATTCGTAATAAATGAATCCTCGTTGCCAACGCCGGAAATATCATTTGGAACACAAACATCCCGCCTTGTATCGCGTTGGCTTTAATTATTATTGAATGGAATTTTAAGTTGGTTGGCAAGCACTTTCGGCGTCATTAATTCTCGGCAATGTCCGAGCCCGGGTTTTATCTCAGACCACGAATTGCACGCCTTGCACGTGCACGTCTCGTTGCCAAGCGGTGGCGGAACCGAATCATGACCCAGAATTCTGCCAAGACGTTTAAAGTAGACCCAAATGTAAGTAAACCAATTGATTACTTATCAGTAAGGAACAATAATACTTTGTCATTTCAAGTTAAATTACCTATTGACTAACATGTCATTTAATGAAAATGACAGAGTATTTACGTCAATTTCCTTTAATACATTCTTATTATGTTACATATTACATACATGTTTGTCATTTTTAGTAAAATCTTTTAATAAACTTATCACTCTCTTCTACTGGCCGATATAAAAATACACCGTGGTTTCAAACAAAAAGCAGGATAATCGAACAACGGTACTTTTGAAGAAGGCTAAACTCATGCATCCATATGATTTTTACGACTGTTATTGACATGAGACATGATAATGTAATTATTATCTCTATTCAGCTTAAGGTTCTCCCTGGACAACAGGTTTAACATACAAACTTTAATATTCATTTTATCTTTTCCTGTGACACGTGAAATATTAAATATCCTCATGGAAACGAATAAAGGAACACATGAAAGTAAAAGTGTTCCTTTATTCATTCCCATAATCTCACCCACAGTGCAATACATACCTTGTGAAGAAACCTGGAAAAGAGTAAAGGAACACTTGTCCCTTCATGTGTTCCCTTATTCGTTTCCATGAGTAGAACGTAATTTCTATAGTATTTCTTTCTAAATCATTTCTTTCGAATGTGGATATTCTGATTGTGAAGTTGAAGTACATACATGATCAATCAGTATGAGCTTAGCAATTATCTTCTCTCTGTTAAGTACCACAGACAATCCTAAATGAGCATTAAACTCGTTGGCTTTTGTGAAAGTAATGACAACTACGTAGAAACCCATTTGCTTTCAAAATAGCCTTGGTTCGTCAGATTAGCACAACCTGTTGTTTCGTTCTGGCAATTAACGGCAAACCTAATTAACCTCCGCCATCTTTTTCATCAAATATTAACATTTGTTTAAAAGGGGAGTTCGTACAGGCATGTCCGTTGCTTCCACATACGATGTACTTGCCATGTTGCAACTGGTTAGGAAGCATTTTGAAATATCCTGTCTTATTTTCTTTCGCGTGACTAATATTAATTTTATATGTCACTATCCGGGAAGAGAATGTTCCTTTAAACGTGCGAGATTCGTTGTTTACCTGTCTCATGATGTTATTAAACAATATAATCGCTTCCTCTTCATATTACACCTCCACGTGTACACATCCTTTGGGAGTGTGTGTGTGTGTGTGCGTGCGTGCGTGCGTCGCGTGTGTGTGTTGGAGAGAGGGGTCTGGGTCACAACAACCCGTGAACACCCAAAACAATATCCCTTAGTTTCTTACTACGATTGGCCTACCGCAGCTGTATCTGATAATGATGTCAGTTTGAGTTCCCTTGTGAGTAAACCCTTCCAATGCCCGGATGACGACCTCCATGCTGCGTCTCACCCTTCCAGTTAAACGTTGGATCTGCTGAATGGGTAACTGCAGACACACCCGATGAAATGCTGATTTCACTACATGAATATTCTGTACAGGAGGCTCAAGGGCGTATATAAGACGCCCAGAGATATGGGTTCAGATCGGGACTCAGGGCGGGCCGAGTCAAAGAGATGCTCTAACGAGCTCTAATGAATGCCAATGGACGATGGCGTCTGGCGTTGTCATCCATGATGCGAGGTCTCGTGGCGAGTGGGTGGTTGTCGAAATGGAAGAAAACAACTAATTCTAGGACATATTGGATGCACTGGTTCAATATAAACTCGCTTTGTGTACTGACCAATCCAGTTTGCAATTGCGTGAAATACACTCTCAGTTCATTACCAAGACCGGGTCTCGTTCCACAAAACGCTCGTTCCACACTACGACTGTCGTAACCTACTTCTGCCCCAAGAGAGATAGTTGGCCTGATGTTCACGGGGTTTTTCTAAGCATTTTTCTTGAGCTTTGAAATCACCTCTCTTCAACATCCTTCAGGAACCTCCTTTTGTCTTATTGTTCAATGTCATGTTACTATTCTTACTTCGGTGCTAGGCTAAAATTTATTCTTCGGTGCCCTGTTCCTAAATTTTCTTCAAATCCACATTACTGAAAATTGTTTTCAGTGTAAGGTTACACATTGTTCTTCTGTGTCAAGTTACGACTTGTTCTTCGATACCAGGCTATAAATACTGTTCTTTAATGCCAGGTGACTAAATGTTCTTCAGTGCCGGGTTACCAACTGTTTTTCAGTGCCAAGTTAAACCATACTAATTGTTCTTCAATCCCATGTCGCGAATTGTTCTTCAAAACCAGATGACCAGTTGTTCTTCAAAAGCCAGGTAACTTTGGGCATCTAAATGATACAAGAAGAGATGTGGTAACTTATCAGTAACTGAGAAACAGCTGAGGGTTTAACGAAACATTACATAATCGAACTGATTATTGCTACTTGCTTTACGTTAAAGGATTTGACATCTTTGAAGTCCCTTTTCTTTATAGTTTCTGAATGAAATGATGAAATTCATACCACGCGTGACGGTATGCATGGTAAAGAACAACCCAGAGTCTCAGATCAACAGGGAAGGCTTTATGTATCACTGTAATAAATATGAATACTTTGTGGTCATCAATTCTGAAACAGACCCATTTAAATGCAAGATTTTATGAACACGGGTGTATGATCAAAAATGTTCACACGGCATATTTGAGCATTAACGTATCATACATGTTGATCAAGTTTGTGTGATCACTACGTGAAGTTAAATGACAGGTGATGCATAACTGCATTTGCTTTTTAGTCCGTGGGAAATTCATCAACATGAGCGCAATGAGTTCTTCTATTTTATTGGTTAAGCCTTGAGAAAATATAAGCCATGATACATTGAATCTATAACGAACAACACACGCTAACAATTGGAGAGCACATATTTTATGATTGAAAACAAATAAAACGGACAACGCTTGAGAATAGTCAGTTGCAATTATCCACTAAAACAGATTCATTTGGGTGTAAAAGACAAAATTGGTGAACACGATATGACAGGATCGAAAAAACCAGCGATGTTCACGAAAAGGACTAGCAATTCCAGCCTTACAGGTTTCACCGATGTTGTATCTATAGCAAGTGAAATTGCGGGATACTTCTGAAGACATCATGACCTCACCCTCATAGGCCAGCTTCCTAGATCCTTCCCTTGGATGCTTTCCGTTATTCCCTTGGATGCTTTCCGTTACAGTCAATAGACTGTCAATATTTCATGCGCCTCCGATTGATTAGACTATCCCTTGGAAACACAATGAACTGTGTGGTAGATACTGGCTCCATAATGATACCTTCGAACAGTAATTGATGCCTTCATTCATATCTGTTCTGATGCATTTTCTTCATAAAAAGCCGTTGTCTTTGTGCATTAAACGTTTTAAAAAGGACAAAGCATTTGTCAAGTCTAATGAATACCTGTCATCCTAGCTGTACACGAAATGCCCATCAAACTCTGTTCTCTCGGACACAGTGAAGCAGTAATGATTTGAATGTTTAATCAGTGACTACGAACAATGGAGTAAAAGGAAAAACAACACAGGCTCTTCTTGAAAGTACTAATGCACTAATCCTTAGCAAACAAAATGCTGGTATCAGTACATTTGTTTTGCTGATGTTTTAGAGGGATTCCGGCCGTGTTGAATAATAGTTTACCTCCTGTTATACTGGAGCTTGTCACTTAATCTATGAAATAAAAATATGTTACAGATAAAAACACATGTTAAATTATCGAAAAAATATGATAAAAGGCAACCAGACTCTTCATTTTCAGAAACTGGAGTGACTTTAACTATCGTAGACTTGCAATTGGTGCATTGGATGTATTGTTTCTCAGGGTCTGGATGACAGACTACACACGCCATTATCACTGAACAGTTGAAGCTAGGATGATATAGTTGTGTTTTATCATTGTATGTTTTGTTGTGATTCCATCATGTGATCGTTTCATTCACGTACATCTTCAGGAGGAAGAGTTCCATGAACCGCCATCAAATGTAAGTACAAGCCACGCCTTGCATGTTGCTGTAGCATGTGTCCCAGTAGGCTATCTGTCCCAATGTCCCACTGTGTCATATGTCCGAACGTGCTAGGTACATGTCCCTTTTTATTTATTTCCTTTATTTCCTTGACATAGAAAGCACAAAATCCTTTCCACGCGTATTCGAAATCTCGGTATAAGTGGAGGAAAAATGTGTGTAGAATATAGGCATATACTACAGAGCTTTTGTGCGCTTTTACAATCTAGTTAAATGTAAATTGCTTGGCTATAAGGAATCCCAGTGTGCTGAGTAAACTAAAGAATTCCGACGAATTTATACAGATACACACTGATAACCATGCAGTACAATTAACGAGGTGTTACATGAGTTTGTGAGTTGGGTTTTACGCCGCTTTAAGCAATATTCCAGCAATATCACGGCGGGGGACACCAGAAATGGGCTTCACTCATTGTACCCATGTGGGGAATCGAACCCGGGTCTTCGGCGTGACGAGCGAACGCTCTAACCACTACGCTACCCCACCGCCCCTCGTGTTCCATGAAAGACTTATCAACTTGCCCGGTATGTCGTGAAGGATCTAGTTAAGCTACCCTTTGATGTTTCCCTCATTGTCTCACCTGTCTAGGGTCAAGATGTCACCACCCCTGAAGAGGTGAGGTCTGGCTTATCCTTACACATGCATGATTAACTGGCCTTGTTGTTAAACTGGCATGTGCATGCGTCTGCATGATAGGGTGATATAGAAACTGCATGCATACCGTTATAATCTATGCACGCGCAAGAAAGTATGAGAATACATGCATGCATGTTTGCATGTTACGTTTTCGGGATTAAAGAGTCATTCACCCAAATACACGTGCATATACATGCGACAAAACCGTTTTCGGAGTCGATTGTTTTATTCCGACAATATTATGAGTATGTGTTTATAAATATTTATGAAATAGTGATGGTGCAGGTGTTCAGGAAAAGATCAGCCTATCCTGCTCCATCGGTGGCACCCATTATAAATACACGCAAAGACTAGTCAATTACTCACCTAAAAACACAGGAAATGATAAAATGGGTATTGCACATCGTATTATACTGAAAAAAGGTAGCAATCATGAATATTTTGGAGAACACGTTGTCTAAATTGTGCTCTCAGTCTTATAAAATCATCATTTTTTCTTGATCCCTTATTTATTTTGTTCAGTATATGATGAGCATGGTGATACTTACAAACGTTGAATACATTCATTTATTTATCCATTGATGTAAGAATCTATGTTCTGCATGTCAGCTTGACTTTGTGTCGACGTAGCATAGATATACCGCTCAAACGAAGTTAAGGAGCACCGACTGTTTAATATTGCTACAGTAAATCTGTCAAGGCAAAACGTATTAGCTGTAATAATATGAAAGAATCGGGTGATCCTTAACATCTTATGAGTAGTATAGATTGCTTAGTTTTAGCAGCGGTTTTAGTTTAAGTGCATGAGCCAGTACACGTGTCTTTGGAAATAAAATAGAATCACACCTTTCGGAGTTTGAATCACATTAAAAGATATACTTTCAAGACACGGAACTTATTGTTTGTTAACGTTAAGCGGCTAGATGTGATTGAACGTGAATAATTGACATGTAGCGTCAACAGCGAGTACAGAACACAAACGTTAAGTGCTGTCGTAGATGTTTTATTGTAGGTTATGTTAGTATAGGCACAGAATGCACTGCTTATCCTGTACACGATGCATTAATTAACCGCAGACAACTGCTATGGCACAATACACCAAGGACGGTGTAATGTTTTGAATCAATCGTTTAGCGTTTTAAATCCATCCTTATTATGTTACGTTCGCGAAGGCTTGCTTTAGTCTATATACATTTTTTTAATTGATTATTTAGAAACTCAATAGGTTTAAAGTGCGTATTCGATATTTTTATTTGATCTAAATATGATTACTATCTTTTCTTTATGTTGTTCTAGCATATTTAAAATCTCGTATTAGGATTGACATGAACAGCATTAATTCCAAAACAACATGAGAAGTTTAATTTGCATATTTAGTTTCATATTCAGACGGACATAATGGGTGTAGGATAATGAAACCATCTCAAGGAATTAAAATCTTCCAATTGAATTTAAATGATGATAAAAAATTCAGTTTGAAAAACATGATTTCCACTACTTCAAAGCTGTGGATGACCTTTGTGCTCAATGTCAACCAGATTCCTGACAGTGCATAATGTCTGTCGTCCAGAATAATATCAATACAGCCTCGGGTATACAGTATATATTCCGTTTGTACAACTGGCTGTGCTTCTGTTTTACTTCATAGCGCTTTTTGTATTTCACAATAATTTTGTATTAATGAGATTTATATTTTTATTAGATGTGATCGGAAAGATTTTGTTTAGAAGTGATCAGAAAGTATAACAGTATATTTACACAACAGCATTTTGGGGTTTGATTTATGTCTTATATTGTCTCCTGATTCACCAAGGAAAACCTTTACGAGGACATACAGCGACTAGTAAGTACAAGTTGGAATATATTTATATATATGATAGGTTCCCTTTCTTTTCAATCACAGAACTGCCATATAGCAGTACATTTACCGTTACATGTATTGGTAAATACCGTGGTGGAAATGAATGTCCAAGTGTGAAAGTTTCATGTGCTATTGCCAGCTGAGAAAGTTTTAAATGCTATTAAAAACAGAAACTCGAGGTCATTTGATAAGAATGTATAGGACAGATTGGTAAGCATCAAATTGTGTGGACATCGGTGAATGAGTTGGAACAATATGTCACTCATATCGTGGCGTGCCAACCTTCCGTGAAGGCAGGGAACCTCACACCCACGGGTCAAGTTCAAACAAATCAATAATCTCAAATAGGGCAGAGCTTAGATTCGACTCCACGTGGGACGAACCTCTAAGAGAGATTCGCCGTTCCATATCGGGCAACTGTATATAAATTGGTATATAATGTACGTAATGTGTATTAGATATTAAGAGATAATGACGTCATGAGCCCACTTACAGACCTGGATGAAGTACTTAGTTTTTAAGGGGTTGAGGAAGTCGTGGTATATATATTGGATTCATCAATCTGGTGATTGTGTGTATCAGGTTGTTGCCACGTCGCAATGGATAGCCTCCATCTGCATCACACAATGAGAATGATCTAATTTCTTCCATATTTGAGATATCAAATTTAACGCTCTGAGGAACGGCTACGTTTTGCTGAAACATTTCATGCTACACTTTAAGATTTCATATAGTGTTTTACTGAAAGTTTGGACAGACTCAGATTCGGTATCGTTTCTTTCACCCTTGGCTTAAACTTGTTCAAATTGATGTTTGCTGTTGCACCTCATTATCTCAAACGTGGACGTCGTATAAACGATACTCAAGTCATCTGTTCCCCGTTTACCCTGAGATCTGCATGGATTTGCTATTTAGTATACGGTTTTACTGCTTTCTTTAAGGATTCCAGGGAGAAAGAGTTGGAGCGTCTGGAAGATGTGAGTTCTTCAATATTTTCCGCATGTTTTTGTACAATTGATGATCGTTCATGCATTGGACCCTCGTGGGACGTTGTTCATTAGATCAATCACTGGAATATTTGGTTCACATACCGGATTATTTTATATCAGCCGTCGTTCCGTGGAAGTTTGCTGAGTCAGCGTTAAACAACGAACAATCAGAATATGACTTCCAGATCGTTATTTTCCATAAGGACACAGTTGACTTGTTGATGTATTTAATAGATGTCATGACATACAGATTTAATGAGAGTTCTTACCCGTTGTCAAGAATGTATGTGTGTTAATTCCACCGAGACAATTAAAATGGACTTTACACGCAAAACAGTATGGCAATCATAAATATTGAATATACATTTGAAGATTGAAGTCTTTTTGATATGCTTTTTTAATTTGTATTAACTATACGGGCAGACAGTATTTTTTATGTGTCTTTGATGTGAACTAGTTAAACAATCTCTCACGGTTCCCCTTTTTTATTAACCTATTAATCTAGACTTCTGAGGACAAACGACAATCAGCAGATGTAAGTATAGATCAGGCGAGATAAGGAAATACTATAGCAATGGTAACGATAACGTACATGTCATTCATTTGAAAGCTGAGTAGATTGATGGCTGATCACACTCCCAGTCTTACTGGGCATTTGATCATGCCCTGCATTAACTGACAATTTATGAAAAACCTAATAGTGTCTCCTCAGGAAATGACTCAGCTAATGGGTACCCGGTAGATTGAGATGATAACGCCAATGCAACTTTCAAATGTTTGACAGGCAAATTGGTTTGTAGATTCCCAAGGGAGATGAGAATGAGGATTTGGTGGCTTGTGTAATAATGTCATGCACTTTGATCTCAATGGTCCGTGGAAAATTATATGCTTTAAAAGTAACTTATTATTATTGCATTACTGGCAGAGGTTTATACAACGTACATGTATACCCGAGATATTCAGCGAATAGTAATTAACATATTCCTGATTAGGCTGAATGGTTTATTGCAAAGGGCAGGGACAGAAGATTGATATTCAGGGAATTGTTGTTGGGGGCTTCATTAAGATTCTGAGTTTTCATTCCCTGCTATTCATGTTATCAGACAGCTGAAAAGGAAAGGAACAAAAATGTAAGTATAATCATTTAGAATTGACATTAATATCCAAGTCGTAGCTTCCCACGCTGTAGAACACAAGACTGATGGCATGAAGATGATGAACGAACATTTCTGTCTCATACAATCTTTTCGTGGCAGTATTTTCTGGTTAACTCATTCATCTGTGGCATCATGGTAGATTGCCCTCGTACACATCCCAACGTGTACATGTAATGAATTTGCATAAATATCACTATCCTACTTATAATATGCTGCTAAAACTAAAGGACAATCAGATTCTTTCAAAGTACTTCAGTTAATCTGTCACTAAATGCAACATGAACGAATCGAGCAGCCCTTTACATATTTAATTTTTTAATGTTATAGAAAAGGGTCTTATAATTCACAATAAGATATGTCTATGGGTAAACAATTGTAAGAGCCATGAAGCGGCAACCTTTGTTGATGACGTCATGTTTGGTATGATGTCAATGATGTTACAATGTCAACTTGTGACACGACGATAGAACCTGCCTCCGATTAGACCTACTACAGGTCTGAGGCCTTCAAACATACCTTTTTCATCGAGAGTGAAAATTGTACTTCACTTCAGGAATATGTTAACCTTATAACAACGACTCCGCGGGTAGGCACTGCTATAGAGTTGCCACATTGTACAAGGTTGCATCTTCGATCAGGCGGTGGGGTAGCCTAGTGGTTAAAGCGTTGGCTCGTCACGCCGAAGACCCGGGTTCGAATCCCCACATGGGTACATTGTGTGAAGCCCATTTCTGGTGTCCCCCGCCGTGATGTTGCTGGAATATTGCTAAAAGCGGCGTAAAAACAAACTCAGTCAGTCAGTCAGTCAGTGCATCCTCGATCCCTATGGAAAGATATGCAGCACCATAAAAAACAACAAGAAGGTTTTCAGGTTTTCAGTGTTGGTTCAGAGCATTGCACAGTGCGCCAGCCTTGCACTGAATGTATTCCAGTCATCCTTTGGGGCGGTGGAGTAGCCATGTTATGTGGTCAAAGCGTTCGCTCGTGAAGCCAAAGGCGCGGGTTCGATTCACCATATCGATACGATGTGTGAAACCCATTTCTGGTGTCCCCTGATGTGATATTGTTGGAATATTGCTAAAAGCAATAACACTAAACTCACTCACCAGTCGCCCTTTGTAAATAAAACGAGAACGCCAGATGAAGGCCTGGCTCTAGAATCCGCGGAGTGGCAAAACAGCCATGGAAATTGTATGAAAATTACACCAACAATTAGCCATGACGCTATGCGTTCGTGAAAAGGGTGAGCACTAAATTCTTTGCATCTGGTTTCTGGAATAATGGGCGATCACCAGAACCACCCTTTTTCGACTAATGGCTTTATTTCCATCAACATTTTCTTCCTTGGTAATTCATATCTCTTAGACCCAACGTGGAAAGTCTGACAAAGTCTTATACCTTCTTTGTGTTATTCAACCATTAATAAGTTATAGAATCGCATCATTTGGTGATAACTGCCAACATGCTATGCATATTTTAATAATGTAAATATATCATGTGAATATCATGTGAATTTCTTAACATTCCACGTCGACGTCTTTGTTGTGTTAATTTCATTCTTCAGCATAGATGATTGACATTACATAAAAGAGTTTGCCTGACAATAGAATCGGCATGGTAGAATAGAACAATAGAATCGGCATGGTAGAATAGTGACAACTGATAGTAACAATGTCCGTGATCATACCACGTGGATAGAGATGTATATAGCAAACAACAGACGATTTGGGGTTGCAGTCCGACGTAAGGCTCTTGGTGAACGTACCAGTTCTTGGTTATGAGAAAGCGGTTTGCATAGTTCATCCTCAGTGTTAAGGAACGAACGAAATGAGACTTAATGTACAACAGCGGATGCATATGTGACCAAGTAATTGTGAATATAATGAATGTGTGTTTACCTTTGTAGACAAGAGAGAAGAAAACTCGTACAAAATCTGTAAGTATAGTTGTGAGAAAAAGGAGTTATCCTTTGTTTCATTTCGTTGAAATTGTTCTTAAATATTACAGTTTGATGCTGTACATAGCCCGGCCAGGTGTTTTATTCATTCAGTGTTTGTTGTTTTCTGTTTTGGGGGTTTGAGTTTTTTGGGTCTTTTTGTTTTCATGTCAGCAGCTAAAGGCTGTAAGCGTGCCGTGGTAAAGGGGCGATGGGGTAGCTCAGTGGTTAAAGCGGTTGCTCATTAGCCCACAAACCTGGGTTTGTTTCCTCACCTGGGTACAATGGGTAAAGCCCAATACTGTTATTCACAGCCCTGATATTGTTGCAATATTGCTCAAACAGGCGCAAAACCCTCTCACTTACTCTCTGGTACAAGTTTTACTGGTTGGAATCTCATGTGTCCGACACGGCATTTTTAGTTGCCTTGGTGACAAATAACTCTGTGACATCACCGATGATGTTTACAGGTCTAAAGTCCCTTTTTGGCACTGAAGCCATTACAATTCAGAAAATAACTTTTCAGTTTAAAGACGTCGCAGATGAAATCATGTATGAGAGTAAAAACGTTATGAAAACACAGGTACTTGAAAAGACTGAAGGAAGTGGAACAAACGCCATATTCGGCAGCTGTAAACTATTGTTTTGTGATCGTGAATCGCTCAAATCAACATTTAACAACTGTGTTTACGTTGCAAATGTCACGTGCAATACAAAAATAACAATGACTGACAAAATGTTGAAGTCACGTGCAATATAAATTAATATGATTCACAAAATGTTGAAGTCACGTGCAATATAAATTAATATGATTCACAAAATGTTGAAGTCACGTGCAATATAAATTATATTATTGGTCATTTATTTGTACACGTATCGGTCTTATGATTTGACGTCAGTCTATTCCCAGTTCGGTGTGTAATGTTCCATGACAAGAGATAAACATACTCATATTTTCTTTTCTCTTGCAATCACTTAAAAAGAACCTTGGCAAGTCCAAAATCGTAAGTAAACAAATTTACGTACAACAAGTAGTACAAGTCTTAAGTCTTGCCTATTTTTACCTACTTGTTTTACATTCAGCAATTGTGTAACTTGTTTATAATAATGCGTTACAATTTCTCATTAACCACTTTATTCAATTAAGTACTCGTGCAAAACGTGACTAGACTGAAGCATCGATACGCCAATATATTGTGGTCGCTTCACTGGTGTAAATCTTTGTCCTAGTCATTACACGTAGCCACAATCAATCAAACCTAACAGAAAACACTGAACACCACGTGAAGTCATGCTCGGCTTATTTCAAATGTGTCAATGTCCTTATCTTCTTCCTTCATTTCCTATAGCCAGAAAGGAAGAGATATAGCTCCCGAGCTGTGAGTATACTCTCATTAGTAATCTATTCATTTCATTTTTCACAGTAACGAAAACTTGCGAATCTGAAAAAATCTGAGGGCGTGCAAACATCAGTATCTACTGTGTCTACTCGTCAAAGCATATTACCATCTTACTTCTTTGAGAAGCCTTTTTTTAGATGTTGGAGCAGTAAGGAATGATAACAATATTTGGATGAACGACGTTTTTATTACAGTCAGAGTGACGTTTCGGTGTCGGTTCTAACACCGTTAACACACAGCACTTTATCAAGGAAAAGAGGCCCACCCTCTCTCTCTATTTCTCGCTCTCCCTCTCTCTCTCCCCTTCTCGCTCTCTCTCTCTCGCTCTCTCTATCTCTCGCTCTCTCTATCTCTCGCTCTCTCCCTCTATCTCTTGCTCTCTCTCTCTCTCTCTATCTCTCACTCTATCTCTCGCTCTCTATCTCTCGCTCTCTCTCTCTCTATATATATATATATCTCGCTCTCTTTATCTCTCTCTATCTCTCGCTTTCTCTATCTCGCTCCCTCTCTCTCTCTCGCTCTCTCTCTCTCTCTCTATATATATATATATCTATCTCTGTCTCTATCTCTCTCTCTCTCATTTCACTGTAAAAAAAATGTTGTTCATCTATATACTATATCTATATCTGTTATACTTCCTCATATTGACATTATGGACGTAGACAAATAGATTGTGGGGGGATATATAGGTTTAACGAAAATCGAAAAAGGCATCAGTTTGGTTGTATACACTGTATTGACTGTATACGTAAAGGGAGACACTATAGGAATATTGATTGATGGTCACTTTCAGGGAGCATATTTGATGTTTAAGGTTGAGAGGAACAAGGAAAGAACGAAACTTGTGAGTACATGCCCTGTTTTCTATCTTCATCCCACGAATTGTGCCCGTAGCTGTTATTGAAATATGCATGACCACATAGTGTAGATTTGTATCGTTATTCCTTGTAGACCTGTCGGTCTGTATGTTTGTCCCCTATGCATGAAACCGTGTCATCTTTGTGTTGGATGTTATACAGAAACCCGTCGAGTGTTGTGATAGAAATGACATCAATACTAGTCGATAAAAGATTAAATTCTACTTTTCAATGTATTGTGATGTTGAAGCCACAAAAGGTTACTTCAACAGCGACGTGTCCAAGCATAAACCGTTACAATGACGTTGCGCTGTTGTTGTTCTGGTTGATTCTGAGCCAGGAATTCAGTGGCTAATCTGAACGTGCATTCAAGTAAAACTGACTGAAGAAACTGTTGATGCTAAACTGTTGAGAAATTATATATGGACCAAAATATGGTTAAAGTTATAAAATCATATGAATCTGGTTATTCCTTAGAATCTGTACAATCAACAGATGACACTGATTTTTTCATTACATTCTTCATTTCTTCATGTCACCGGTTATAAAACCCGGCTTTAGTAATTGATAACCCTTGTGGCAGTCATAGGGTACATACGCTCACCATCTCGTGTTGCAGATAATCATTGTCACAATAATGATCCGCTGATCGATGAAGTCAGTAGTGTGTTAAGTATCAGTAAACTACCTTCATCGTTATAGACTGACTAAAGATCCTATGTCTTCTGCCAATAATTTTCATTTGTGGACAAACTAGCCAAATGCATCAAATTGCAAATTGACATTAGTTTATAGGCCTACGCAATTGTTCATTAAACACAACAATGCATTAAAGTACAAAATGTATTTGTTTTGCATTATATCATTTAAGCGGATTAACCTGGTAAAAATAGCTTTGGTATTTGGTTGAATGAAAACAAATGTTTACTTAACAATTGATTCTATATCACCGGAGTCACTGTTGGATTCACTCCTTTGTAATAATTTTTAAACGACAGACTTATCCACTTAACTGATTATATTGAATATCCACTGTCAACTGATGTCTTCAGTAAAAGTACTTCAGGGGTTGAGTTCAGGCATCATATCTTAACGGCAGCACTAAAAGCCATGTATTTTCAATGCCAGCAAAAAACAATCGAACCATTTATGCTTTGCTGAAATGTGTCTCCTTTAAAACAGACCTTCATTGAGGAGGTGCAAATGGATATTTTATAAGACGCAGTCTGGTTTAGCTATTGTCCATAGTGAAACTCTACTGTAGGAATCGAATCATGTGTTGCATGTATTAGTCAACCTTTGAACATTTCAAAAGTCAATGCCAGACAATAACCAGTCTTGATTATCCGATTATCTGGAATAACAGATTCCATTGGGCGTACAATGCATGAATGTATCGCTGAAATCAGCGAGGACACAGGGTGTTCGCGAAAAGGTTAAGCATGTCCGTTCTTACCGGTTGCACTCACCGCCCATGAGGGGCGGTGGGGTAGTCTAGTGGTTAAAGCGTTGGCCCGTCACGCCGACTAAGACCCGGGTTGGAATTTCCTCATGGGTACAACGTGTGAAGCCCATTTCTGGTGTCCCCCGCCGTGATGTTGCTGGAATATTGCTAAAAGCGGCGTAAAGCCAAATTCAGTCAGTCAGTCACCGCCCATGCATTTTGTAAAAAAGAAACAAGTGCTAGTTTGTTACTTGACACGGTCCAGCAGCACACCTGCCATGCGTCGGTTGAAATTACAATGCCAGTTTAGAGGGAGTCAATTTGCACTAGAAACATGTTTTGGGACCGGATTTGAATGTCGGAATTCGAAATAGAGGGATGTCGGATTAGAGGGATTTTCTAATATGATAATATATTGGGACAAATTCGGAACCAAATAAATATGTCGGTTTACATGGAATGTCGGTTTAGAGGGTGAGTGAGTTTAGTTTTACGCCACACTCAATATTCCAGCTATATGGCAGTGGTTTAGAAGGAGTCCACTTTATTGACTTATAGCATGTGTACAAAATTGCAGAAATGAAATACACGAAAATGGCATTGGTAAAATTATTTCCAAACTTTGAATGAAACTGCACTGCTGGAAATGGTATATGTTGTCAGCGACCTATTTTCTCACACGTCCTTGTCAAGGAAATATGATTGGGGTGGTCATCAACATCTCTCATTCAAAGTGGCTTTTGGTCACGCAGAGAATTGCCGTACTTAATGACTAGGATTAGACTGTCATCCTCGTTGCCTTGATTTCATACATAATGAATGTGAAACGAAAAACTGCATCCGCCATCATCTCATAATCTCAACTTCCTGCAGGTTTCAAAAGTCGATGAACTTTTCTTATTCAATTTATTGCATTCTTTTCAGGTCGCAAATAGATAGAAAAGTGGTGAAGTCGATAAATGAGAGCATATATCTTTTATGATACTAACTTCATTTGAAAATGATAATTACTGAAGTGCATCTAGTTCTAACAGAAAGTGTGAAAGGTATTCTATTGATTATGATAACTTAATATTGGATTCACTTAGGATACTGCATAGGGTGGATTGTATGATAGCAGTCAACCGTCTCCCACAATCGAACTTTTATAATATTTTTTCTGAAGTGCAATTAATGCTCTTGTTGCCGTTTTCAATCATCATCTTAACTATTGATGAAAGTCAGAAATCAATGGTTACCAAGGATACAACAGTAAACATATTAAAATGTGTTTTGTACATGTGTGATATTGAATAGAGGTTTTTGAAATAACTTGATTATATTTTCATGACTAAATAACGTAATTATTATTACTATTAATGAAATAGACTGGGTTGAGGTTATTTAGAGTCAGTCTATTTCTAACTGTGTTAAAGAAGGAAAGTGAATACATTATACATCAGTTCATGATAGTCTTGGCGCATGTGAGTCACCTTTAACGTATACAGAATCTACGCTTATTAGCATCGAATTGTTCAGTTAAAATTTTCTAAAATTACAATACATTTCTATTTTTTGTCAAATATCATTAAGAAGAGAGAAAAACACACGAGTTCTTGAAACGTATACCAGCAAAGGCTTTACATAAGAAACAATTTCACATGTCTTTATTTAATCAATTAATTCAACAAATACATTACGTCATTCGTGATGTTATATAAGCAGGTGACTTTGTCACATTCATCTCGTATCACGTACTTAGTGTATTTACGTCCGCGAAATACGTTCAGTATTCTTTTAGGCATAAAAGCGATCATGCATACTTTGTTATGAAGTTCAGAAGTCATGGGTAAACAGCCAGTTTCCATAGTATTGCTCTGATCTCAGTGGGAAGCTTAACGATTTGTGTCTTTTGCATGACATCCCAAGGTGGGTAACCTAAGCGACACCACGTGCCTTGTCCCCAGTCGGTTCGGGCAAATCAATAAGTTTCCCCGTGTCAAGCACGGCCATTAATATGATAGGCACCCTTAAGAATCGGTCACCGTCATATGTGTGGGTGCAACAACCATTGTCTCTCAAGTTACAGTTGTTTTTGTGTTGTTGGTGGTGACAGATGTTTTGTTTGGCTCATCGTAATGACAGATAATGACGGTGAAAGTGTTCACTTTACGAATGGTCCTGACGCTGAATGAGATTCAGATTGGTGGGTAATGCATTGTGTGGATTGGGATGCTTATCAGTTCGAGACCGTTTAATCTGTGAGGCATCTTATATATATACCTGATACATCCTCAGCGCTGAGGATTTACAAGTGTACGTCTTTCACGGAGTTTCAAGGACACTTTTACTGATGTACCTCTGAAGCCTCTGAACCTTCCTTTATAAAGCTACACAGCTTTCTTCAAAACTTGAATTTTGACATCGAAAGAATCCTCGAGGAGATTCTCTGTAGTATATAAGCCAACGTTACTGGTGAAGGTTTCTCATAACATAGAGTTACCATGAGCCTCAAAGAGGGACAAAAGACGTTCAGAAAGAAAGATAAGGTAAGAAAATCTGATAGCCATAGTCGGTTTAAAGATATTTATTTTCAGAAACCTGGGTTGGTAAACAAGTATTCTATGCTTATATAAATACCGCCCCAGCGATAGCTTATTCTAATACATCCCCGATCCGACGTTCGGTGATGCACGCATGAGGCGTCTATTGTAGACAGGCGTTTCTGGTTTTAAACAGATTTCTCTGGCAAAACTAGTTCCGCACTATGTGATGATATAAATATTTTCCTTTAAATTAGCGGTGCTTTCGACAATAGACTTTTTACTCTTTTACATAATATATGATCACATACGAAATCATTGAATTTCTTGAAATGTGTCTGACTCTTAAGATGGAAACAGAACCGACAAGAATCATTTTGATAATCCTAAGATATCTCTGGTGGAAGCAGTGTCAATGGTCTGGTACCGACTATATCATGTGTTTATAAAGCAGTATCAAATAGTCATGTTACAAAGAGTTGGGGAAAAGGGGCGCGTATCCCGCCCCACCCGTCACAAATACATGCAAGTGCAAGTAAACTGCACATCTAAAGAAAAGTCGGAAATGTAAGTCCAACTAGGGAGTAAAATTTAAACATTTGTCCATGAATTGAGAGTTTCTAGGACTTCAGTCCTGCCCCACAACGAAGCACATGCAATACATGTGGTCTCACCTTAGGCAAGTGAGTTTGTTAAAAATTGCCTATGTTCACCAAGTAGAAAATGGGTACCCGATGGGATAAGTCATGTGACTAAGCGCCTCACAGGCAGCTTGGGTTATATGTGCTTGCTTTGATTTCTAGCGCTATCAGCTTCATTTTGTGATTCTCTGAGCACCTTGACAGATGGCGCTGTATAAATGAGTTATTACCCCCCAAAATCACTTTCAAATGATGATCCCTTCCATATGTTGAAAGGTAGTATCTTTAACTCTACTTTGGGTTAAAGTTTCTCATAGTCCAACTTTTCAGTTCATCCCTCATTGGGATACAGATCAAGACATCGCATTTGTGTATAGCCT